TCAGCAATCGAGAGATGCCCATAGGCCAACCTGGACTGAGATTCCCTCTTCCCAAGTGTGTCCAATTGATAACCAAGAATAGCCCTTATACCCGTGAAGCCATCCCCCTTGTCCAAGTCTTTGTTTTTAATCACTGTAAATTATATTAACTAAAATTTACTTAGAGCTTACCCTAGGCCATTTTGCAATTTACTGAAGTCTTGTAATAATCCAATGATACTGACACTGTCCTTCCCACTTCTCAGAAAAGAAAGTAAGGCTCAACAAGTGTCAGTAGCTAGAAAAAGGCATAGGTATATATGTTGATTGTCTGACCACTGGAGCCATCTAGAATCTAGGGGGAAAAGACCCAGAGGAGGGAAGTATTATGTCTAAGCAGGCAATGGCAAAGCAGTCTGAACAGCAGTATAACAAATTCTGAGGATGTCTAAGCTGAATACTGGGAAAAGGGAGGGAGTTTGAATCGTGTTACAGACCACTGGCCCCACTTAGGGTTCAAGTCTCAAGTAGAGAGCATAGGAGATTGACATCTGTTTCTAGGCAGTGATCACAGACCAAGGATGGCAAGAGACCCAGAAACAGTGACTTCTTCTACTGCTGCATCTAGAAGTTGGTTCATACAAGCACACTCCCGAGGGGTTTTCCTCAGATCTGCATCTGTGTTCTGGTGTGATGCTGAGCTGCCTGTGAGTGAAAAGCCAAGTAGGAAGGGTTCCCCAGTACCCACTGACACACTTCTAATTGTTCTTTCAGATTCCCCAAGAACCTGAGCTAGCAGGGGAAGAGCTACTGAGGCCAAAAAGAGCAGGTATGTAAACTTCTCGCTAAAAGTCACATTTATAAATCCACTTTATAGCTGTGTGCTATAAGTAGAATTGGTCCTACCCCATCCTTCATGAAAGATATTAAACTTGAGCCTTACATATGTTGCAGGAAAATATTCTCTCCCTTTTTAAATCTATCTGTCTATCTATCTATCTATCTATCTATCTATCTATCTATCTATCTATGTATGTATCTGATTGACACACATGTGAAGGTGCGCATCCATGCATGGATATGTGCAAGTTAGAGATAGCATTCATCAGAAGCCATCTATCTTGTTTGTTGAGACAGGGTTTCTTAATGGCACTCCCCCACCGCCAAGCAGGCTAGGCTGTCTGTCCAGCAAGAGAGTCCCAGAGACCTCCCTGTTTTCTACTCCCCAACATTTAAATTTCTAGTGTGTGATACTACCACGTCCAGATTTGTATATGTGGGTTCTGGGCATGGAACTCGTTCCCTAATGTTTACACCGAAGCAGGTACTTTGCCAGTTGAGGAATTTCTCAAACTGTCTTTGTCAAAGTTCTATTGCTGTGAAGAAACGCTATGACCACAGCAGCTGTTATAAAAGAAAGCATTAACTGGGGCTGATTTACAGTTCATAAGTTTAGCCCGTTGTCGTCATGGTGGGAAGCATGGTGGCATGCAGGTGGGCATGGTGCTGGAGAATATCTAAGAGCTCTAGAGCCAGACCTGTGGGCAGCAGACAGCAGGCAGAGAGTGAGACTGGCCCTAGCTTAAGCTTCTGAAACCTCAAAGCCCACCCACTAGTAACACACTTCCTCCAACAAGGCCACACCTATTCCAACAAGGCCACACCTATTCCAACAAGGCCACACCTATTCCAACAAGGCCACACCTATTCCAACAAGGCCACACCTCCTAATAGTCTCACTCTCTATGAGCCTATGGAAGCCATTTTCATGGCCAAACAACCACACCAACATTTATTTATTTATTTATTTATTTATTTATTTATTCATTTATAGATAGGATCTTGCTAAGTTGCCCATGGTGTCCTTGTACTTGGGATCTGCCTCCCTCAGGCTTCCAAGTGGCTGAGATTACGGGTTTCCAAAGCAGGCTCTCAGGCAACTTTTTTAAAAAAGGATTTATTTATTTATTTATTTATTTATTTATTTATTTATTTATTTGAGAACACTATAGCTTTCTTGAGATACACCAGAAGAGAACATCAGACCTCATTACAGATTGTTGTGAGCCACCATGTGGTTGCTGGGAATTGAACACAGGGCCTCTGAAAGAGCAGTCAGTGCTCTTAACCTCTGAGCCATCTCTCCAGCCTCCACGGGATAACTTTTCAAAATGCTTTATTCGCCATGATTCAGTCTCCCAGTAATCCGGAGAGAACAGTGCTTTTTGTTTGCTAAAAGTACCATAAGGAAGGCCATTTTCAACGTTATCAGATGATGTTAAGTGGCCACAGTGACACCTTGCAATCTCAACCATCATTGCTGGCTTCGTGAGTGCTCTAATCTCATGTCACTCTCCTCAGACGCCCTCTCGTACCACCAAAACTCTTCCCAAGCCAGCAGCTTTTCCTTCCTGCCGTCCCCTCCCTTCCCCGTGCCTGTCTCTTCATTTCCAGTTCTCCTTCTCCTCTTGTTCTCCTCCACTGTGTTGTACCAGTGAACTCCAATGACCCTTCTCACACTTTCCCTGAAGCCAACCTGTAGCTTCTGTGCTCAAAAACAAGTACATTGCTTCCTTCATCCCACCAACCCTGTGAACTCTCCTTTACCCTGTGACAGGCCCTGAGCCAGAGTCCTGTCCATAGGACCATGGAAGGTTTTCATGGTTCAAAATGGAGCCACCAAGTTCTTCCAGAGCTCATGTCACCAGCATCCTAGGGAGCAGCTGGTATCCATACAGCCGCAAAGCCATGTCCCTCTGCACGTCTGAGCCTCGTTGTTTATCATTCCCCTTAGCAGAATAAGGGGGTAGTTCTGGGGCAGGAAATACTCGCACATCTAAGGATTTGAACATGCCAAAATTTTTCCCAGCATGCTTTCACTAAAAACAATCGTAACAATAAATCTCCACGAAAACATATTTTCCATTTATTATACGTGCTGCCCTGTGCTCTCCCGTAGAGTCAATGGCAAGTGTTAAAGAATCTGCCTGTCCTCCACAGATGATGGATTTGCCTTGGTACTTTTACAAAACCACCAAAGGGACAACACAACCACACCCATGCTGGGCCCTGGGTGGTAGGTTTGTAAGTTTCAGTAGGACTGTGAGTCTCCAGCAAAGTGAAGGAAACAGGCTATGGAGACTTTGCAAGCAGCTGTACCCAAAAGAGGCCTGGGTTTGGCCTGGTGTCTTCATTGGGTGAAGAGCTGAGATGGGAACCAGAGTTTCAGAATAGCACACCTGTTCTGGAATGTGTATATCTCCCCTTCTGAGACCATGATGGCAGGAGGCATAAATGTTCTAGAAGAAATAAACTAGCTAGCAATAGAGTTCCTGTCTGAGTCACTGGACCACATCTTTAAAAGTTCGGATAAAAATCATCTTTTACAAATATATTCTTTGAGAATTTCATATAGATATGGATATGGATATGGATATGGATATGGATATAGATATAGATGATATAGATAGATGTATAGATCACATCCTTGTCTCATTTAATTAATGGTGAAATCAATGTTTGTATTCATTCCCAGGACATTATAGATTTCTACCTATGTGACAAGTCAGATGTTCAGACTTACTATCTTCCTGAGAAACATATTTGTGTATGTATGTGTATATGTGTATATGTGTGTATGTGTACATATACATATATATCTCATACATGTATCAATGATATACTTTATACATATATCACCATTATTATATTTCAGAGGCTTTAAGATGGTTGAAGATCTTTATATCCTGGAGCTAATGAGACAGATCCGTTGGTAAAATGTTTCCACACAGGCATGTGGACCTGAGGTTTAAACCCCAGTATCCTATAGAAAACCAGGTAGGGTGGGGCCCACTTGTAAGCCCCTAAGGAAACAGAGATAGGAGAACCTGTGGGGTTCACTGGCCTGCCAGCCTAGCTTAATCAGACAAATCCCAGGTTCAGTGGGAGATAATGTCTCAAAAAACAAAGTGACAGAATTCTAAAGAACAATACTCAAGCTTGACCTATGGCCTCCACAGGAACACACATGCACACACACACACAAATACACACACACACACACACACACCCCACACACAAATCATTCATTTGAAGGAACTTGATGTATCCTTGGCACAGAGGGAACACTCATCAATGTCAGTCCCAGATAATGGCATGAAAGCAAAAGGAATACACCATGACACACTAGCTGGCATTTTAAGAAAACTCTTTCCATACAGTTGGGGAGGAATCTGCATAGAACCCAAGACCAGAGCCAAGAAGGTGTGTAGGGCTCCTCGACAGAGCAAAGTGTGGTTGTGGGAGAACAGGAGGAGCTAGGATGGCTAAAAAAAAAACAAATCCAAGATTGTGTCACTATTACATCAGGAAGTAGAGTCCAGGCCAGCTGATTGCTGACACCAAGAAGTGACAGATGCAAACTATTCTAAGTGACAACAATCCTGGTGGTCCTTGCTAAATTAATTAGATAAAGAAACCAGAATGCTGGAAAACCAGCTAGGAGGCTGAGCAGTCCCCACATGGACCCTTAGACATGGGTAAGAGAGAGAGTAAATGTGGGAACCAGAAGGGCAGGGAGAGAGAATCCTGGATGCACGGAGCCCCTGGACATACTGGAATCCCCACAACTCTCATCCAAAGCAAAGTCCTTACTAGAGCAGGTCTCTGGCTGCCTGTGAGGATTTTCTACAGAGCTGACAGGTTGGGTGCATGGGCTCTTTGCAGTCTGGGTTCAAACATATTGTGCATTTCTGAACCTGTGGCAGGGAGCCTGGGGATTCCTGGCTGTGCTTCTTGGACAATGTGGCGTGTAGTCTGAGGGAATAGATTGGTGGTGGACTGAAAGGAAGGGCTGGGTACTCTCTGGCTCACGTGTGGGGTTGATGTAGGTTCAGGTTCAGTTTTAGACTTGACATTGAAAGTCAAGAGTGTTCTTTTTTTTTTTTTAAATCTGACTTTTGTTTGACCATTCAAAGGTGAGATATGATCAAATTAAAGTTAATTTTTCTTGACTCGTAATGCACATCATTGCGTGTGTGTGAGAGTGTTAGTGCATGTGTGTGTGTTGTGTTTGTAGGTGGTTGTGCACATGTACACATGGTGGCCAGAGAACAACCTTGGTGTTCCTCAGATATTTTCCACCATTTTTCTTGACATGGGGCCTCTTCCTGGTCTGGACTTTACCAAGTCAGCTAGGCTGGTTAGCCAGTAAGCTGTAAGGATCCACCTGTCTCCACCTGCCTAGTGCTGGAGCTACAAGCGTGTTCACCATGCTTAGCTTTTTAATGAAGGTTCTGGGGTTGGACTCAACGCCTCATGCTTGAAACACAAGCACTTTACCAACCAGGCTGTCTAAACCAGCCTGCCTTACATGTGTCAGTTAACACTATTATTACCGGACGTGCCAGACACATGGCTAAGGGGTTTCACAGTAACTCTGTAGAGAAATACCTTTCCTCTAGTTTATAGACCTACTAAGTGTGTCATTCAGAGTTTTCGTGACTCCTCGAGTAAGAAAGTGTCCCATTCAACGTTCTGGTCTTAAGCCTCCAGATACTGGTTTTCAAGGTGTTTCTGTTTCTTGCCCATGAGGTCTTATTTCATGGCTTGTGTGTGTGTGTGTGTGTTGTGTGTGTATGTGTGTTTGTGTATGTGTGTGTGAATGCAGGTGTGTATGTGCATGCATGTGCATGTGTGCTCATCCATGTGTGTGTGTGTGTGTGTGTGTGTGTGTATGTGTGTGTACAGGTGTGTTCATCTGTGTGTGAGTATAGATTTGTGTATGTGTGTGCAGGTGTGTGCAGGTGTGTTAATCTGTATGTATGAATG